GTTTCAAACCCTGCTGCTTTATCAACTAAGTTTATGTAGTACTCTATAATAGATCCTTTGTTGTCATTTCAACGATGTTCACAGCATCTTCACTAGGAGTTGCTTCTTACAGATAAGCAAAGAAAGTGGTTTGAGCCTCAGGAAACCACTTTCTTTGCTCATCTGTAAGGAGCAACTCCTTATCTGTTCAAGTTTTATCATGAGATTGCAACAATTCAGTCACACCTTTAGTCTGTACTTCTAATTCTAGTTCTTTTGTTGTTCTCACCTCATCTGCAGTGACTTCCTCTACTGAAGTCTTCTACCCCTCAAAGTGATCCATTAGGGTTGGAATTAACTTCTTCCAGACCCCTGTTAGTATTGTCATTTTGACCTCCCATGAATCACAGATGTTCTTAATAAGGCATCTAGAATGGTGAATCCTTTCTAGGTTTTCAGTTGACTTTTCACAGATCCATGAGAGGAATCACTATCTATGGCAGCTATAACCTTACAAAATGTGTTTCTTAAATAAGACCTGAAAGTTGAAATTACTCTTTGATCCATGGGATGCAAGGAAAACGTTAATCTCCTTGTATATCTCCATCAGAGCCCTTGGATGACCAGGTGCGCATTGTCAGTGCCCAGTAGCATTTTGAAAGGAATCTTTCTTTCTAAGCAGCAGGTCTCAATAGTGGGCTTCAGATAGTCAGTAAAACATGCTGTAAAGAAATGTGCCGTTACCCAGGCTTTGTTATTCCATTTATAGAGCAGATTCAATTAAACATAATTCTTAAGGGCCTTAGAATTTTCAGAATGGTAAATGAGCATTGGCTTCTGCTTAATGTCACCACTGCATAAGCACCTAACAAGAGAACCAGCATGTCCTTTGAAGTTTGAAGCCAGGCATCAACATTTCCTCTCTAGCTGTACAAGTCCTAAATGGCCTCTGCTTCTGATAGAAGACTGTTTCATCTGCATTGGAAATCTATTGTTTAGTGTAGCCACTTTGATCAATTATCTTAACTAGATCTTCTGGATAACTTGCTGCAGCTTCCACATCAGGACTTGCTGTTTTACCTTGTACTTTTATGTTATAGAGAGACAACTTCTTTCCTGAAACTGCATGAACCAACCCCTCTTAGCTTCAGACTTTTATTCTGCAGCTCCCTCACCTCTCTCAGTTTTCATAGCATTAAAGAGATTTAGGACCTTGCTCTGGGTTAGGCTTTAGCTTAAGGGAATGTGATGACTGGTTTGATCTTCTTTCTAGACCACTCAGACTATTTCCATATCAGCAATAAGGCTGTTTCATTTTCTTATCGTTCATACGTCCACTGGAGTATCACTTCTAAAGGTTCCTTCCAGAACTTTTCCTTTGCTTTTACAACTTTGCCGTTTGGTGCAAGAGGCCTAGCTTTTGGCCTGTCTTGGCTTTCAACATGCTTTCCTCACTTAGCTTAATCGTTTCTAGCTTTTGATTTAAAGTGAAAGGCATATGACTCTTCCTTTCATTTGAACACTTAGAGGCGATTGTAGGGTTATTAAATGGCCTAATTTCAATATTATTGTTGTGTCTCAGGGAATTGGAAGACTCAAGGAGAGGGAGAGAGATGGGGAAGCAGCTGGTCAGTGAAGCAGTCAGAATACACATAACATTTGTCAGTTAAATTCAGAGTCTTATATGGATGTGGTTTATGGCCCCCCAAAGCAATTATAATAGTGAGATCAAAGATCTCTGATCATGGATCACCATAATAGGTAGGATAATAATGAAAAAGTTTGAAATATGAGAATTACTGAAATGTGACACAGACATAAAATGGGCACATGCTGTTGGAAAAATAGCACCAATAGTCTTATTCAATGCAGGGTTGCCACTAAATTTGTAAAGAAACCACAGTATCTGTGAAATTCAGTAAAGGAAAGTGCAATAAAATGAGGTACTATGTTTCAATTCTTTTGGGTAGTTCTCCTGTATACCCAAGAGAATTGAAACATGTTCCTACAGAAACTCGTACATATGCTCAGTTCAGCATTATTTATAATAGCCAGTAAGTGGAATAAGTTTATTCATCAACCAGTTGACGAATGGATGAACAGAATAGGGTATCTTGCTAAAATGGGGTATTATTCGCCATGAAAAATGCAGTACTGATACCTACTACACTATGAATAAACCTTGAAAACATAATGCTAAGTGAAAGAAACCAAACACAAAAGGCCATGTATTGTATGATTTATTTATATGAAATGTTTAGAAAAGGCATATCCACAGAGACAGGAAGTAGATTAGTGGTTGCCAGGATCTGAGCAGGGGATGAGTGGGGAGTGGCTGATGATGGTTTGTTTCTGGGACGATGAAAACTGTCTGGAATTATATAATGATGATGGTTGTACCGCTTTATGAATATACACCACTGAATTGTATAATTTAAAATTAAGTATATTACGGTATGTTAATTATATTTCAATACAAAAATGTTTAAAATGGATCAGATGTGGTGGCTCATGCCTATAATCCCAACACTTTGGGAGGCTGAAGTGGGAGGATTGCTTGAGGCCAGGAGTTCAAGACCAACCTGGGCAACTTGGCTAGACTCCATCTCTAAAAAATTTTTTAAAAACTTAGCTGGTTGTGGTGGCACATGCATCAACTACTCAGGAAGCTGTGGCTGGAGATCATACTAGCTCTGGAGTTGGGGGTTACAGTGAGCTAGGATGCGACCACTGCAATCCAGCCTGGACAAGAGTGTGAGACCCTGCCTGGAAAAAAAAAAAAAAAAAAAAGTTAAAAATGTAAACATTAAAGGGAGCAGTCAAGAGTGATAGGTGACATAAACATGTCAAGTAAGCTCTAAAAGATGCTGTTTGAATTGGCAATTGATTATTGATCACATTATTGAGCATTTTTATAATTGATCAGTGAACTTGGCAGTTGGTCATTCACTGCTGACTGGTGAGAATGAAGTTAGTGGAAAGATAGGATATCAATGGAAAGATTGACTACAGTGGATTGAAGGAGGAGTGGTAGATTGAATATAGAATTTTCTCAAGAAGCTTGAGTAAAGTGATAGCAAGAGAAAGGACTGTAGCTGTAAAACTGAGGTTTTATGAAGTAGAAATATTGTTTTTTTTTCTTAAAAATGATAAGAACCTTTAGCATGTTGTGACAAAGAACCGAGAGAGAAAATGAATGTAGGCAAGAAAAGAGAGAATAATGGGTCAAGCAGGATACTCAAGGAGTTGAAGGAATGAAATAAAAAGCACAGATGGAAAAATTAGGCTTAAATAGAATAAATGATACACCTTTCAAGAAAGGCTGGAAGGAGTTACAGAGTTGTAGATGTAGGTTTAATTTGTAGAATTCAGCTGAAGAAAATGATGTCATTTTTATTTTCTCTGAAGTAGGAGGAAAAATTGTTAGAGGGCAAGAATGAGGGCAGCAGGATGGAATAGATAGCCTGAGGCAAGTCATAAAGGGTTGGAATAGATTCTGTTTGGGAATCGAAGAGTAAATTGTCAATAATAAGTAAAAATAATGAGGACTCCCATTGTTAATTAGGTATGTGGGTAATTTACCTAGACTATATTTATCATCACAGTTGAAAACTAAGGCTCAAGATGGTTAAAAATGTCTTCCTTTTGTCAGCTGGAAGGTGATACGAGTGGGATTAGAAATCACATATACATGATTTGAAAGTTGCATTCAGACTCTTTAGGTTGAAGATATTAGATATAGGCTGTCAACATCAATGGATATTTATCCTCAGAATGAGTGCTTCAAAAGACTGATGTGACTTATACGAGTGTCTTTCATATTTTCATGTAGATTTAATTTGCATACTCAAGAAGTCGAGAGATGGAAATAGACATAAAGTATGTTTTAAGAGTACAGTAGATGAGTTTTAGACTTACATAGAATTTACCTGTTCTTATTTTTTAGTTGCGACAACCACCAGTTAAGCGTTTAAGACTTCGTGGTGATTGGTCAGATACTGGACCCAGAGCAAGGCCGGAGAGTGAACGAGAACGAGATGGTAACTATGCTTTGGTCAGCTTTTCCTTGTATATGGTATTTTAAAATTAATATTTTAACTTCCAGTTTCTTCACTATTATAAATGATTCTGTAATGAACATTCTTGTACATAAAAGTATACTTATGCAAATATATCTTAGGATAAATTCTTAGAAGTGGAATGGCTGAGTCACTGGATAAGTACCTTTTAATTTTGGTAGTTGTTATCAGATTACTCTCCAAAAAAGATGTGCTAATTTACATTCCCACTGAAAGTATAAGAATGCCCATTGTCCCATAGTACATTGAGTGTTGTCAGACTTCTCAATTTTTGCCTTTCTATTAGATATTAAGAGAAATGAAAACTCAGCCTAAGAGTTTTATATTAGCACATAAAATTTTTTTTCTTTCTATCAAGTGCCTTTGATAAGCATAAGAAACTACCCTGGGAGCTTTAAGATAGCACTCTTGAAAATATGATTAATCTATGAATTGTAATTCTGTATAATTATGTTTTATTAAATTGGTCTGTAACCAAAATCTTACTATAATGACCTCTGAAACATTTTTTGTGATCAAAAGCATATTCCCCAACATATGAGCTACATTATATAAAGGCAGTAAAGTGTAAAAGAAACTCCGATTTCACAGAAAATGTGAGGAGAACCGATTTTCATTTTAAATTATAAGACTATAGAATAGAATTGTCACATTTTGAATTTGACATTACACTTTTAATTTGAAAATGCCCTTGGAAAAACTTGTTTACTTGCAGGAGGGAAAGGAGTGAGGGAGGAGACAAAATACTTTGTGGTTCCAGTTAATTTCAAATATCTGGAATTTTCTTACAGTAAATGATGATGAAAATGACTTTAAGGAAACTTCATGTAAAAACATAAGGCTATTTTGTATCTGTACTTCATTATAATGCTTTAGGGGGAGGGAAAACCTTTCTTTTAATTTATTAAACTTAGAATTCATGAGCCCTTCTTGGCTGGGTACTCTTAGAACTAAAAATTTAGGTTGAGGTAGGAGGTGGGAGGTTTAGAGGTACCTAAGAATAAGCAAAGACGAGTGAGAGGTGAACTCTGTTCTCGAGAAACTTTACCATACACATGGAGAGTCACTCATAAAACAATTACTATAAAATGTGATGAAAGCTCTAATAGATTTATATATATTCGTACAATTTATTTAGGAAATTTGATTTTTTAAAAAATGCTTTCATTTTAAAGCCCTTCAAATCTAGGTTTTTGTATTAATGAAAGATTCTGACTTATTACTAAACTCACTGATAAGACGTATATTGTAATAGGAGAGCAGAGTCCCAATGTGTCATTGATGCAGAGAATGTCTGATATGTTATCAAGATGGTTCGAAGAAGCAAGTGAGGTTGCACAAAGCAATAGAGGACGAGGAAGATCTCGACCCAGAGGTAATTTTTCATATTAATTAAAGTCATCAGAAAACTGGCAAAAACTACTTATTGAAGCCAGTTTTTATTTATATCATGTAAATTATACTATGTTTTACGTCTGTAATAATCACAAGGTTCTTATTGTATGGTGTGAAGTAGTAGAGAATAAAAGGTATTGGACATAATTTGTCCCTTCTGGTGCCATTAGACCTAGTGCGTATCTTTTACTTTTCTCAAAGTAAAAGAATCTGAGATTCCCCATTTTAAGTGTTTTTTTAATGCGCTCTGAGAATGGAAATATGTAAAATTCTATGTATAAACAATTTTTATGTAATTGGACAGATTGCTTTAACAGGAATATGTTGTAGATAAATTTTTACCCCTCTTGACTGGCCTATTTTGTCTAATGGACCAAATCACCAGTGGTTATTATCACTGAAATTATATATTTGTGTGTGTAAATATAAATGTGTTTTCTGAATGTATCTGTTTAGAGTTGTTGGTTTTGGAAAATATTTAAAATTTGAATTTGTGTTAATCGGTGTTTTGAAGGTGGAACAAGTCAATCAGATATTTCAACTCTTCCTACGGTCCCATCAAGTCCTGATTTGGAAGGGAGTGAAACTGCAATGGAAGTAGATACACCACCTGAACAATTTCTTCAGCCTTCTACGTCCTCTACAATGTCAGCTCAGGCTCATTCGACATCATCTCCCACAGAAAGCCCTCATTCTACTCCTTTGCTATCTTCTCCAGACAGTGAACAAAGGCAGTCTGTTGAGGCATCTGGACACCACACACATCATCAGTCTGGTGAGGATATTCCTCTCTAAGTATGCTGTGGTTCATCTCATGATTTTTGTTAATGAAAACTTCTTAACTGGCTATTTTGAAAGATACTAAATCACATCAACTTCTTGTTGGAATAAATGATCAAAATGAGATGTAATATATGGTTATGTAACTTAAACACAAAAATTATGTCTTACTTGCATGAGTTTTAACAAATAGCAGGAATCTTCAATTTATATGAAACAATTATTTTAAAAGTACAGGTACCAAAAGATAGTGTTTTGACATAGTTTAATGTGCCTGACTTAAATATTATTTTATAGATTATTAGAGACCAAAATCTCTTCTAGATTTATTTGGTTTTATGTCTATATTAAAGTGATTATGAAAATATCAGTATTAGTTTCATTTTGCCTGTATTCTTGATTATTTTCCCTCAAATAATGCAGTACTTTTAATATACTCTCTATAGTGGATTTGATATGGTATTTTGTCAACAGCATATAATTTAGCAAAAAATTTATTTCTCCAGTATTTACATGAAAAAGAATTATTTTACCAAATGCTTATCTTCTTGATACTTGATGCTAGTGTAAAAAACCTCTACATTCTGTTAAAATGCTGTTTTCTTCCCAGTATTATAAATCCTCATGGTCAACTTTTTTCCCCTAACTATAGAATGTGCTAGTATTTATAATAGTAATTTTCAACAGATGTATCTACAGTTTACTCGGCACTTTAAACTATATACATGTAATTATAAAAACCAATAAGATATTTATTCATAGTTTTCTTTGGTTCTTCTAAGGAAGAATTTTACTCAATATAGAGCCAGAATTATTAGCAACTAGAAATATGAGCTGGCAGGCCTAAGCTGAAACCTATAAAAAAATTTCTAACAGCTTAGCTGCCAAGCTGTCACTTTATTCTTAAATCTCTGGAAACTAATGCCAGATTACCAAATATGGGATGTTTTAATTTAAGCACTCTTTTATTGGTATATACCACGTTTAGTAATTCATTTTCAGTTTCTATGGGAATAAAAGCCAGAGTCAATTACATAACTGTTAACACTGTATATATTTTATCCATAATAATAAGCTAAAGCTGAGCTGCAGAATCAAGGTTTTCACACTCAGTCGACATAGCATTTTAATTTATGGAAAAAATAAAATATTTTGGAAGATTTGGGAGTTAAGGGCAGAAGTAGTTAAAAGTTTGTGTTTCAAAGCAGGTAAAATTGGGAAAAGCAAGAATTTTTAAAGTGATAGCATTTTTGGAAATATTCTTGAACATTTTGATCAATTATAAGTTTTTAGGAAAACCTATCAAGAAGACTCAAGCTTACATTTAGCTTCCAGTGAATCTCAACTAATTCTAGTTGTTTCTTAAACATATTTATGAGTAAAGTATTTGGAACTTTTTTTTTTTTTTGGTTGAGACAGAGTCTTGCTTTGTCCCCCAGGCTGGAGTGCCATGGCGCGATCTCTGCCCACTGTAAGCTCCACCTCCCAGGTTCATGCCATTCTCCTGTCTCAGCCCCCTGAGTAGCTGGGACTACAGGTGCCCGCCACCACGCCTGGCTAATTTTTTTTTGTATTTTTAGTAGGGACGGGGTTTCACCATCTTAGCCAGGATGGTCTCGATCTCCTGACCTTGTGATCCACCCGCCTCGGCCTCCCAAAGTGCTGGGATTACAGGCGTGAGCCACAGCGCCCAACCTGGAACTTTATTTTTTAAAGCTATTTAATGTATTTTAATACTGCATTTCAAATTGCTAAATTCCTTTCAATATTTAATGTAAGTATTAAATGTGACAGTCATTTGAATTATTGAAGAAAAAGTATTTTTGGTGATCATGTGATGATTGTTGAAACACTACTCAGTACTTTTACTCATAAATTATTTATAGAAAGTAAGGAAATATTTTTAACTGGGAGATTATTGAGAGAATTTTGGTTGACTATGCTATAGATAATTAGAATATTTCCATGTTATCAAGACAGTATCACTATTGAGAAAAATGATTTGGTGTTAGATGTAACATCTAAAGGTTATGTCTGTAATTGTTCTGATAACAGCTTTTTCTTTATTCTGGAGTTCAACATTTCAGCAGTAAGGACTTTGTTTCTGTTTTTGTTTTTTCTCCAATCTCTTTTGCATTTGCCATGACCTAAGTCCAAATGTGTTTGTGAATATTGGGAACTGTCCATTGGGTGAATGTAGTAGATGGGAATGTCAGCTTAGGACCATGATTTCTATTATTTCCCTGCATAGAGATAGAGAAAATGATAAAGTATGCTTCTATCTATACTCGCCTTGCTGTGGATACCTTTTTATGTAAATGTTTATCCCTTTGCTTTACATGTCCTCCATCATTTTTACTGATATCAAAGAAAGGGACAATGGGAATATGAAAATTTGCTGTGCTCCGTCTCTAGTTGAACCTAATTATCTGCCTTCTCTTAGTCTACAGTGGAATCACTGAATGATAATGAAGAAAGTTATGACCACAAATTTCAGTGGGTGCTCAACACTACATCAGAGCAGTCTCACACTGTTGCTCTCCAGCTGTACAAAATGACTACGCCTTCATGTCTCTCAAACTTTAACACTCCCCTTCATCCTTGCCCCACTTCCAGAGTCTAACCTTTCATTCACAGTGAAAAGAAAAGTACTCATTTTCCTACTATCAATAATTTCCAAGCTTTCCAACATCTGTACTTACATTGTGATACAAGCAGAAACACATTTTGGAAGAAATCAAAAGCTAGTCAATGTAGTTGCCATCCCTTTCCAGCTTCTCAAAGACTTTGCCTCTTCTCTTGCATTATCATTGCCTTTTTTTTTTTTTGCCAGATTGGTTTTTTTGGCCTTAACATGCTCTTATCTCTTTTCTTTAAAAATTTTCTCTTAATTATCTCACATTCCCCTTCAGCTATTGCCTTATTTGTCTGCTGCTTTCATAATGAGAATCCTCAGAAGAGTTGTTGATAGATGCTATCTCCATTTTCTTGCCATCCTTCTTATTAACCTTATTATCATCTTATTATCCTTATTATCCAACCCCAATCTGCTTTTCAACCCATTTCCTCTGAAACTTTTAATCAAAGTCACCAGTGACATTTACCAGTTTAGAGGATATTTCTCTGTTAGTACCTTACTAGATTTTTCGACCCGGTTGCATTTAACATAGGCTGTCACTCCTTCTTGAAACACTTTCCTTTCTTGGCATCTATGATATCATATCTGCCTATTTACTCTTACTGTTTCTGGTGGGTTTTCAGTAACTATTGTTTGTGTTTCTTGTTCTATCTCCTTCTGAATATTATAATCGAACCCCTTAGTTCTGGCTCTCTTCTCTTCTCTTCATATGCTCTTTCTCTGGGGGATTGTGTCAGTTCCCCATAGCTTTTAATATTTCCCGTAAATTGATGACTCACAAATATATATCAGCAGTCTGATCTTCTACCCCGAGTTCCAGACCCTTGTGTTTGACTGCTATTTTGACAGTATTTTTTTGTTACTGTTGTACATCTTTTTTTTTTTTTTTTTTTTAAAAAGACAGAGCCTTACTCTGTCGCCCAGGCTAGAGTGCAGTGGCATGATCTCAGGTCACTGCAGCCTCCGCCTCCTGGGTTAAAGCAGTTCTCCTGCCTCAGCCTCCCAAGTAGCTGGGATTACAGGTTCCTGCCACCACACCCAGC